GTGGCAGTGTCACCTCCGCAGCCCTCAGTCCCCAGGCAGGGGACACGGCAGGGACGAGCTGCAGCCTCCAGCCAACCCTGGGCATGTCCTGACCCCCCAGCAGAGCCCAGCTGGGGCCTCAAACTGGGAGAACTGGGGCAGAGCCTGGCCATGGGCTCAGGGACACGCCTGTGCCCAAACTGCCCCAAAGCCAGCCCCAGGGCGGTGTCACGGCGCTGCTGAGCGCGCGTGTCCGGGTGCCAGCGCCCCACGGGGACCCGCGCGGTGTCCCCGGGAGCCCCGACCTTGAGCTGGCTGGGAGAGGTGAGCGGGACGTGCGGGGACACGGGGACACACATGGGGACACGGGGACGCGGGATGGAGCCGCTCCGTTATGAAATGTTACGAAACGTCCCCGCATCCCCGCGCTGCTAAGTCAAGATTTAGCGAGAGAGCGGCTCCTGATCCAGATGAGATGGGGCATCACAAAGGGCTTTGTGTTCCAGGAAGCCTATTAGAGGTTTAAATTATACAAATGGGCTTTTTACCAAAGATCCTCATTATCTGCGTATTTGTTTTTTAATCCCCGGCTATTCTCGCAGCCCCTGCCCCACCCTGCTCCGTTTACCTTCCCCGTGTCCTCCGCCGGGCCAGGGGACAGTGGGGACAGCGGGGACAGCGGGGAGAGGTCTGTGGGGTTTTGGGGACACCCTGGTTGTGTTCACTGATACATCGAGCCCCTCTTGCTTTGCCCTCTCCCAGTTTGTCCCAGTATCCCTGAAGGTCTTAGGGATGGTGCCTGTTGTGTGCTGAGCACCAAACCTCCCTGGACACAGCCACAGCCATCCTGGACACACCCGGGCTCCTTCAGTGCCACCTTGGCTGTGTGGGCACCCACGAGGATGCCCCCGTGGGCACTCGGGGCTGATCAGGGCGGTGAGGATGATGCTGGACCCCAAATCACCGAGCTCTGGGTACCCCGAGCATCACGGAGCCCCATCAGCTCGGGGACCACAGCCATCGCACACTGCCCGGGACACACAGAGGTGACACTCCGGGAGCCCGTCCTGGGGCACAGGGACACCTCAGTGTCCCCTCCCGGGGTGTCCCTGCAGCCCCACCCCACCCTGCTCTGCCGCAGAGAAGCCTCGGGGGCTTCACGGCTGCCATGGCAACGCAGGAAATTCCCACAGAAATCCCTGCAGGGAGGACGAGAAGGAAAACGAGGAGGAAAACGAGGAGGAACTCCCAGCCAGGCATCACCAGAACCCCACGTCTGTCCCCAGCAGCTTTGGGAAGATGCCACAGCAGTGCCTGTGGCTATTTCAGCATCCTCCTGGCAGCACCACAGGGCCAGCGGGACCCTCCCCGGACCAGCCCTGCCTGCCCTGGCACCCCCAGGGCATCCTGATCCCTGGCAGCGTGAGCTGGAGGGGGGTCCAGCCATAAAACCCCAATATTTTGGGTCGGAGGGGGTGGGTGCCAGGCAGGATGAGCTGGGAGGTGTTTGCCCCCAGTGCCAGGGACCCTGTAAATCACTGGGGGTGTGATGTCCCTGCCCGTGCCCCCCTCCTGGGCATTATCCTCCCTCTCCCTCCTGCAATCCCTTCCAGCGTGGGGATTAGGTGGGTTTAGGGTCGGGTTGGAGTCGGAAATGGGATGCTTTCAAATCAGCCTGCGTCACTTGTGCCTCTGTCACTCATGCCCAGGGGGATTAAAATAGATATGAAGATTATCCGAGGGGAGGTGGCACCCTCACCTTGGGGGCTCCCCCTCTCCCCCAGCCCTGGCATTGCTGCCTGTGGGGTGCTCAAGATTTCTTCCCAAAGCACAAACGTCTCCCTTTTCCTCACCTTTTTTCTCATATCCCATCCCACTCCCCTTTCCAAATCTCTTTCTTAAACAGGAGAGAAGAAAACACCCCTGCAGCATCTCCCCTCTCCAGTTCCTGTGTTTCCAGCCCAATCCCATTCCCAAAATGTTCCACTGGGCTTGATACCAGTGCCCAACCCCCTGCCTGGAGCTCAGCAAGGGTTCCCAGGGTTATTAGTAGGAATTTTTCATCCCTGTGGTCCTCAGGGCCTGGGCTACTCCTGTTCTCGACCTCTGTTTGATCAAGAGCTGCCCACCAGTGTTCCAAAACACACCTCCGGATTTTGGATGCTTTGCCAGGACTGGTCCCTGTCTCCTGCCCTGCTTCAGCCTGGAGTTTCAGGCCTGGAGGTGCCAGGTGTCCCTCAGTGGGTGCCCAAAGCCCCTCAGCCTCGCTGATCATGGACTGGTTTGGGTTGGGAGGGACCTTAAACTAACCCAGTGCCACCCCTGCCATGGGCAGAGCCACCGTTCTGCTGTCCCAGGCTGCCCCAAGCCCTGTCCAACCTGGCCTTGGACACTTCCAGGGAGGGGACAATTTTGTAATGCCCAGGAGATTTTAGGATGAATTATCCCCATGCCGAGTCCTTCCCCCCAGCTCCCCATCCTGGAGCAGCCACCCCAGCACATTCCTGTTCCCCCCAGGCCAGCGGTGGGGCCGTGGATTTAATCACTTGATGCATTTTTGTTTGTGTAATTCCAGGGGGAGTGGCTCTTGCTCCCATCTGCCCCTGCCATCTGCTCCCCACGGCCATCCCGGGCTCTGCAAACGGAGGGAGGGACCCTGGAAAGACCCCAAATGGTGCGGGGACCCTGGAGAACCTGCTGGGAACGGCACCTCCTTCTGGAGAGCATCTGTCTGCCCTGGAGTCTTTTCCCAGGGCTCTGAAAGGAACTTTGCTCCTTGCTGGGGTGACCGGGGATGCTTTGCTACCCTCGTCTGAGTCCTGGGGACACGCAAACCAAAATGTCCCTTTCTAGCCCCAAAAAGCCCGGCTTGGCACCTTCTTGGGCCAGTGGAGACAGCGTGTCCCAGTGCTCCCAGTGCTCCCAGTGCTCCCAGTGCTCCAAGACCTTCCAGTCCACCTAGTGCTCCCAGTGCTTCTTCTCAGTGCTCCCAGTGCTCTCAGTCTTCCCATTCCCCAAGACTTTCCCGTTCTCCCAGTGCTCCCAGTGCCTGGAAACCTCCCAGTGCTCCCAGTGCTACTTCCCAGTGTTCCCAGTATTCCCAGGGCTCCCAGAGCCCCCCCAGCCCTCTCTCCCTCCCCAGACCCTTCTCCGGGGGTACCAGGGGCTGCACCCCGTGCTCTCCTCCCCGGGGGATGTCCCAGGGGGTGCGGCTGTCCCGGGGTGGGTGGGGGTCCCCGATGCTTTTTTCGGGAGTGCCCGGTAATGCCTCGACCTTCCCTTGGGTTCGTCCCCCGCAATCCCGGGGTGTCCGGTTTGGGGGGAATCCCCTGTAGCCCCCCCCAGCCCGGGAGAGGAGTCCCTGGGGGTGCCCAACCACCCTCTGGGGGGGGGGGTCCTTGCAGAGCCCTCTCGGGGTGCTGAGCCCCCCACAGGTTCCCTCCCCGGGCAGTGGGGAGGGGTCACAGACCCCGGGCATTGCTGGTGGGGGTCGTGCCAGCCCCGGGGGGACAAACCTGGGGATCCCTGAGTGGGGCAGGGACACGCAGATCCCTCCTCGGGCTGCTGGAGCCGTGGTAGGGGGTGATGGAGAGGTTCTGGGGGGTCTCATCCCCCTGGAACTGGGGGTCCTGCCCGACCTGGCTGCTCCTCTTGGGGAGTCCTGTTTGCGCTGAGATCCAAAAGAATTTCTGGGGAGTTTGGGGATGCTGCGACCTCTCCCTACACTGGATAAGGCAGCTCCAGGCACTGAAGCCCCCACTGCACCCCTGAACGCCCCCGAGCCCATCCTCTCCCATGGAGGGGTCACAACACAGCCTGGGGGACACCCCAGGACGGTGGCAGCGGGTCAAGGTCACCACAGAGTGCCCAGGGCGGTGACCTGAGGTGCTGCTCACCCCTTTGTGAGCTCCTGGGGGCTGATCCCTGCTCTGGAACCCCCCGGGCTGAGGGGAAAGAGCCCCGAGCAGGGACCTGCCACCCCCAGCCCTTCCTGGGGCTCCGGTGCCCGCCGGAGGCATCAAATATTAACGGAGCCAGCGGAGGAGCTGAAAATAACCCCGCTCCGAGGGATCTGACCCAGATCCGGCCAGCCCCGAAGCTGGGCTGGACCCAGAACCGCAGGCACCGCAGTGCCGGGGCCGAACCCAGCCCCTCCCCTCCTCCGGGCCGCTCTGCCCCGCTGATCCCACCTATATATCACCTATATATTATGCAAATGAGCTCTAAGGGCTTATTACGCAAACAGGAGGGGGCTGGCGCTGCCTGGAGCTGGGTGGTCCCCGGGGCTGGCCCCGACGGCTCAGAGCGGCCAGCGGGGATGGAGGGAGCAGCATCGGCGTCCGGCCGGGTGTCCGGGGGCTGCCAGGGAGCGCTGCCCCTTCCCTCTCCCCTCCTGTAGCCCAGAGGGACCCCCCGAGCCCGGCCAGACCCCTGCCCCTGCAGCGCTCGTCCCCCCGGGTAGCGTCCCAGCGGAATGGGGAAGCAGAACAGCAAACTCCGCCCGGAGATGCTCCAGGACCTGCGGGAAAACACGGAGTTCTCCGAGCTGGAGCTGCAGGGTTGGTACAAAGGTTTCCTGAAGGATTGTCCCTCGGGCATGCTCAACGTGGAGGAGTTCAAGAAGATTTACGCCAACTTCTTCCCCTACGGAGACGCCTCCAAGTTCGCCGAGCACGTTTTCCGCACCTTCGACACCAACGGCGACGGCACCATCGATTTCAGGGAGTTCATCATCGCCCTGAGCGTCACCTCCAGAGGGAAGCTGGAGCAGAAGCTCATGTGGGCCTTCAGCATGTACGACCTGGATGGAAACGGCTACATCAGCCGGGAGGAGATGCTGGAGATCGTGAAGGTACCGGGCAGCCCCGCCGTGCCCCGGGCTGGCACCGCGGTGGCACCGTGGCTGTCGCCTCCCAGGGTGCGGGTGGGTTGGGGATTTCACCCTGTGCGACCCCCGGGACGGGGTTTTGCAGAGCCAGGGATGAGCTCACTGCTGCCACAGGGATGATTTTATCCTGGAGCATCCCGAGTCTTTCCCTGCCTGGGGATTGTCCCTTTGTCACCCCATCCCGGGACTCTTCCCGTGATTCCAGGGTGGGCAGTTGTTCCCCAGCGCGCCTGGTGGTGTTGGCAAATGGGCAGGAGACGCTCTCCTTGCCCAAATCCCGACCTGGTGATTCTCAGTGGCATCTCAGTGGCCAAATCCTCCCTGCAGGAGCAGCTCCAGCCCTGCCTGTGCTGGGAGCTGAATCCCCCCGCAGCCTGATCCCATGGGAAGGGCGTTAAACGCCAGCCCCGTTCCCAGGGAAGCAAAGCCCAGAGCTCTGTCCTGTCCCAGGTGGGCAATGCCAGGAGCCCACCCGGCACCCACCCTCACCCCCTCTCCTTCTCCCAGGCCATCTACAAAATGGTCTCGTCTGTGATGAACATGCCTGAAGACGAATCCACTCCGGAGAAAAGGACGGACAAAATCTTCCGACAGATGGATACTAATAACGACGGTAAATGAGAGGAGCCGGAGGGGATTAGGGAAAGGTCTCATGGTTAAATCCTGGGCTCTGAGAAGGAGCCGCACGCACGCTGATTAAATGGTTCATGCCCGCTGGCATGGCCGGAGGGGCTCAGGGTGCTGGGCAGGCACCCCAGGGTGCTCCTCCCGGGTGGGGGGTGTCCATGGGCTGGCTGGGCGGTCTCTGCTGCTGGCAGGTGGCTGAGCCGTGTCCCCTTCCCCGCAGGGAAGCTCTCGCTGGAGGAATTCATCACAGGGGCCAAGAGCGACCCGTCCATCGTGCGCCTGCTGCAGTGTGACCCCAGCGGGGCCATGCAGTTCTGAGCCCCACGGACCCCCAGAGCTCCCCCCGCCACCCCCGACCCTGCAGATGGCCACTGTCCCCTGCCCGGCCCCTGCTGTCCCCGCTGTGTCCCCACAGCCCCGGCTGGGATGAGAGCTGGAGATATTGGGGTGAGGGGAGCCCAGGGGACAGTCCCCATTCCCGGGGGGGCTCCTGCACTGGTTTGACTGGTGGGAGGATGGAGCCAGGGTCTGCCCTGAGTGAGGACAGTCCCCCCCAGCAGCGGGGCTGGGAGCAGGGGGACAGTCCAGCCCGGTGGGACAGGCTGGTGGCCAAGCCACCACTGCATCTCCGGCAGGCGCGGGGACACGGCCCAGGGGACAAAGCTGGGGGGTCCCCAGCACCCAGCCCCGCATGAAGACACGAGAAGGGCTGGGCTGGGTCAGCCCCTTCCCCACGGCCACTGCAGGGGGTGGGGCCGCGGGGGGGACCCTGCTTCTGGTCTTTAAAACCTGCAGAATAAAGTTTGTGTCAGTGCAGTCCGTGCTGGGAAAGGGGACACGGAACCCCTGGGGAAAGTTCATCCCTGCAGGGTCTGGATCCAGCCCAGTTTCATTCCTCGCCGCAGCCCCGGGCAACCCAAGGCCATGGGATGGGCTCGTGTTCCAGGGGATGTGTCCACACATCCTGGCAGGCAGCAGAGTCCTCATAGGGCTCCGAAATGGGGAAGGAACGGCCAGGACACATCCACGGGGTCATTTATCCCACAGACCCTGCTCAGAGCCGGGCAATTTCCACACTGTCGAGTCTCAGCAAGCCCAGGCACTGCCCGGCACCGGGGCTCTCCACAGGGGCTGCCTGCAGGGAGACCTGGAAGCCAGAGAGGATGATGAGAATGGGACCAGAGGGGTGGAAGCTTTGGATCCACAAGTCACCCCTGAACCCAGCCGGGTCTGTCCCAGCCCTGCAGGGGAGGGAGGGGTTGGAGCTGAGCCCAGAAATCAGGACTCACCTTCATCCGGAGCATCCCACGGCAGCAGCGGCCGAGGCGGAGGAGCTCGAGGCTGAGCAGGAGGCAGCGGATGCTGAAGAAGATCGCCATGGCCTCGAGCAGGAGGGAGATGGCCCAGAGGGACAGCGTGGAGCTCTGGGAGACGGGGCGAGCATCAGCTCCCTGCACGTCCTGCCCATCCCCGGCACAGCCCCATCCCCATCCCCAGCCCACGGGGAACTCACATAGACGCGGGTGGGATCGAAGGGGCACTCGCGGGACACCGGGGCGAGGGCGATGTTGGCGATGGAGCAGGGGGCCAGCAACACCCGGCCCTGGTTGCCCAGGGTCAGCCCGATGGCCACGAGCAGCCCCAGCAGGCAGCACAGGCAGCACACGCTGCTGCAGGCGCTCAGGGCGAGCAGCGCCCATTGCTGCAGGAGGGAGAGAAGAGGCAGAGAGGGGACAAGGGGGTGTCCCCTCCCCAGGACGAGGGAGCTGTGCAGGCTCCCGGGAGGGCTGCAGCCCCCCTGGGTGCTGGGAGAGGGGTTGGGGGTGCTTACGAGGGCAGCAGGGCCGAGGAAACGGGACAGCAGCAGGGCACAGATTCCACAGGAGATGATCTGCGAGGAAGCACAGCGAGGTCAGCGAGGAGCAGCCCCAGGGACACCGACTCCCTTTTCCTGCTGCCATTGTCCCTGGAAGCTCATCCAGGGGGCAGCGCTCCATCTCCCACAGCCTCATTCAACGCTCCCCGGAGTGTTTAATTCCATGGGTTTGTGCTGGAAAAGTTTGTTTGGAGTGGGGAGGGGGAGACAGAGCAGTGTCCATCCTGCATCCCATCTCCTTCCCACGCTGCATCCCATCCCTCATCCCAGCCCCTCCCCAGGTCCCCGCCGTGTCCCCAGCCCCACTCCCAGCGGTACCAGCAGCGCAGCAATGACAGAGGCGCTGTTGGTGACACCGTAGTGCAGGGAGGTGGCATCGCGGGCAGTGACCACGAAGCGCAGGACGGTGCCGTGCACGAGGGCCCCGGTGATGAAGCTGAGGTGCCCGACGATGAGGAGGATGAGCCCCGTTTTCATCAGCACCTTTCGGTGGCTGCCGGGATCGAGGTGGCCTGAGACGAGGGGAGAGGAGGGTGTGGGGACAGCACCGAGCTGTCCCTACCTGGCACAGGAATGTCCCATCCCAGAGGATGTGCCCCATGCTGGCAGGGGGATGAGGCAGGAGGTGATGTGGAAGACACCGGTAGCCCAAGTATGCAAACCACTGGTCCAGCCAGCTCTCCTGGGACTGGAGCAAAGGTGTGGGGCCAGTGGCCAAGGGGACAGGGGACCTGTGGGGCTCCTCGGAGCGAGGAGGAAGCTGTGGGAGAGCAGCTGTCCCCAAATGGCAGCTCCAGGGCTGGGTTCTGGCACCCAGCACTTCGAGGAGTGACTGTGGGGCTGTTCTCACTCTGGAACCCCCTCACATCACCCAATTCCCCTCCCAACCCCTTCCCCGACCCCATCCCAGTCCCTCAGCTCCTCTCCCTCCCTCCCTGCCTCAGTTTCCCCTGCAGGAGGGCAGAGATGGAGCCCTCCTGTTGTGATCCCCACACCAGAGCCGGACTCACCTCCTTGGCACATCTTCACCGGGCCAGGATCAGCCCAACAGAGCCCCTCGATGCCGCGGGGTCCTGCCCTGCCCTGAGCCCCAGGCCAGTCGGATCCATCGGGGTCTGGGAGGAGGCAGGACCAGGACACCCGAGCCACCCGGAGCCACCCTCCTGCTGCTCCAATTCCTGTCAGACCAGCTCCCCGGGACAAAGGGGTAACTCCACCTTCTCCTGCCTGTCCCACCCCTGCCCTCCCCTTGCTGCCAAGCCAGCAGCCGTGTGGTGACATGCCGTGCCATGCTGAGCCATGCCCTGCCATGCCAATTCACCATTCCCCACTTCCTCAGCCCCCTCCCCATCCATCCCCACGTCCCCAGCACAGCCCCAAGCCAGGGCAGCAGGCTGGGATCCAGCCAGGCAGGTCCCAGGCACATGAGGGGCTGGGAAGGGGCAGCCCCTGGGGGTTGGACACTGCAGGACCCCAGGGCACGGACCAGCACTGCCAGGTGCCAGGGACTGACCTGCAGGGACAGGGCAAAGCAAAAGGGTCAGGGAGGGTGGTGGTTCTGCCAAATGGTGACTCAGAGGAGCAGGTTTGGTGGCCATCGCCCTCAGGAAGCTTCCAGGGAAGTTCCAGGGGGTGGGATGGGGACAGGGCCTTGCTGGGGTGGCTGTGGGAGGAGCCCCCAGCCCAGCTCACACCGAGGGGCTGTGGGGTCCAACAGTTTAATCAGAGGGACAACCCTGGTTCCTGGGCACTGTCCCCAATGTCCCCACCTGAGCCACTGCTCTCAGCATCCTCAGCTCCCACACACCCAGAAGTGCTGGAAATTTGCCTTTTCTCCCCATTCTTCTCCTCCTTTCACCTGTACCTAGCCCTGCTGCACAGGAAGAGGGAAAAGAGAGACCTCTCCTCTTCCCAAGCCTTTGGGAACAGCTTCACGTGGGCAAAGGCAGCTGGAAGATTTCCCTGCAGCTTGGGAAAGGATGAGCTGGATTCAGGTCGAATGACAACCAGAATCTTTATTCCAAGAGTCCCTTAGGATGGTTGCAGACATACAGACACACGTACATATTTACACTCTTACACACCTCACAGAGTTTGAACCAATAAATTAAAACAAAAAGAGGGCGGGGGGGGGGTTTCCTTTTTTTTTTTTTCCTTTGCTTCTTTTTGTTACTTTTTTTTCTGTCACGTAAGAAACAGCAACTCCCCGAGGCAAGGCTGGGGGAGCCAACTGCAGGATGGCAAACAGAAGCCAACAGGGACAAAACCCTGACCCAGAAGCTGCAGTGACAGGGAATGTGCTCATCTCACACCCTGGCTTCGATGCATTCCAGCTGGACCATCTCATCCAGCCGGCAGCCCTCGGCTTGGGCACAGTGGCTCAGGTGGGCACTTGGGCTCTGGGCACCTCTTGCCCTGGGGGTCTGTGGGCAGCCTGCTGCAGTCTGACAGAGGGGGGACTCGCACTCGTCCGAGGTAATGTCGGGCACGTCGTCTGACTGGCTGTCCGAGCTCTCCAGGTCGCTGCGGATGCTCTCGGGCTGGGCCAGGGTGATGTCCCACGTCTGGCTGGCAATGCAGTCCTTCTGCTCACAGCTTTGGTGTTTGCAAGTCTGCTCCTGCTCGCCCTCCTCCTCCTCCTCCTCCTCTTCCTCCTCCTCCTCTTCCTCGTTCTCTGCCATCTGGGTGTGGACGTGCAGGGAATCCTCGGTGCTGCTGCCGCTGGTCAGTTGGTAGTGACTGGGTTTGGCTTCAATGTCCACCTGGATCTCCATGTTATTGCACTCCCTGCAGGAACAACCACCCTCACGTTACTGGGAGCAGTTACTGGGCTCTGCTGGGAGGATCACACCTCCCAAAAACGAGCAAGATGCTGCTCATCACCCCACAACTTGCTGCTCTCCTTGTGATGCCTTTAGTTTTAAGTTTTCCTGTTCTCCTTGGATGTGCTTCTCTGATGTGCTGGGGTGATGAAGACAAACCAATCCTATTCCAGTTAAGAACTCAAGGACAGTTTCTCCAAACTTCAGGCCCTGAGCACAAACTCCGTGAAAAGGTGGAGGGTGGGTTCATGCAAATTAACCAGAACCTATAAAAGTGTGAGATTTTGTGACCAACCCCCTCCTTTCCTTCCATCTTGGAGCCATCCAGGCACAACTGTGGCACTGATATTGCCGGGCTGTGGCTTTTGTGGGCCTCACAATAAACACCCATTTTATTCTCCTTAATTCTGTGTGCAGCCTCTGTTCCAGCTCCTCAAGGCATCACTTGAGTCCTCCTAACAGAGCCAAGGTCACCCCAGAAGCTGAGCTGGGAAAGCTCCAGAGTCCCCTCAAACTGCCAGAACAGCCCCTGAGGGTGCTGGGCTGCAAATCCCCTCCCCAGTCTCCACACCACACATGGAGGTGGCTCCCAAATTGTCCCCAGCCCTCCTCCCGTGCTG